CGATGAGAAACCAGCAATATTTTTTGGAAAGATACTAACGTTTGATGAGAATTCACTGATGTTCAAAATTTATAGCTGATCCTGGCCAAATGTCGTATATTTTCCAGTTGGTAAGAGTCAGCAAAATCACAGCTAATCGGGTACACAAGGTTATAACAGTTTCCTAGCAGACTTGTATATTAGCTCTCTTCTCTATTGTTGTTTGGCCCATTGCCCTGCTGTTTTAATAGGCTGGACACATTTTCTCGAAATTTCGGAACTGTATTCACGAATAGTCTACAATCTTGGAGAATTGGCGGGAGTTTCGCCATATGTAACTAACATGGTAAGCTAGACATGCTCTCAAATATAAACTTATTCGAAACAAACGTTGACATTAAATATATCACAAATTTGTTATATGTAACACATATCTGATAATACACGTCACGTCTATTTCTAAATACAAATTCAATCCAAACAACTTTCATATTAAAAATAAATACATAATAATAAATTTGTTACAACATCCTTTATATCTATGCACTGTTCAATACTTACATCCTTAGTGAAATGTTTATTCTGTACATATCACTCTTGTAATTATAAATACATTATTGTCTGCATTGTATAAAGTATAAATGTACTTGCAATAGATACTCACTTCCACACAGGAATTAGCTATCTTCCTCAGTGTTCGTGTGTTCTGTCAAAGGGAATTGCATGCCACTTTCCTTGCGAAAACTCATACCTAATTTCATATAAATTTGTACCACTGCATGTTGATATCATCATGCAAAAAGCCCTCCACCAATAGCAGGGTGATACACCTCTATGTGCACTATGCATTTACACTGGTGAATCTTCATTCTTTGGTAAGACAAGTAAGAAAATGTGCACTGGGTGGGAATGCATGTGGAGGTGACTATCATAAATACATTTTCAGGGAAGACAAATGTTAACTTCTGAGACTATAACTCCCCTTCCCACACAGATTAGCTATAATTTCTCATTGATATGGTGAAGAGACCGGTGTACCCTTCAGAATGTGTCTAAAGGATGCCCATAAAGTGTGATATCCAATGGTAAGGGTTCCATAGGGGAACAGCTGTGGGATGCTGCACCTCATCTCATCCAGGGTATACTCTTTGCCCATATAGGCAAGGGAAGAGGCAAAGAAGCCAGAGTTGTGTCACAGGAGTGAGCAAAACTGGTACATAATCATCCAAGTACTTGCAAACAAGTTGTTAGACAGTGTAGTATGGTTGGGGCTTGTTCAGACCATACCTTGTATGCTCACCTCAACACTCAGACTTGATGGGTTAAAATCAGCTGTGGGAGGAGGGCACTTGTGATAAGTATCCATGCTCACCTCAACTATACAATCAGACTCTATGGGATTGGCTTCAGCTGTGGGAGGAGAGCACTTCAGTATATATAGTATAGATACTTATATACCTCAACTCGATCATCAGTATTTATAGGCCCAATACGAGCTGCAGGAGAAGGGTATGTGAGAAATACATCACAGGCATATATATGGAGTGCGCCACTCAATTCTACTGTCATTTGTTATGGGACTTACACCAGCTGCAGGAGGAGGGCACTGTAGTGTGCAGCATTGGTCCATATGTAGTGCATGCATATCTCAACCCTACTGAACAGGCTCTGGCTGCAGGAGGAGAGCACATGTGGCATAGGTTATGTATCTGAGTTATATGTGTGGTGACTCACACTACACCCAGTGTTACCACTTCCCCTCTTCTCTCCATATTTTAGCCCCAGCAGTTAGGTTCCAATTGTGAGAATTCTCCATGGTTCACAACCCTAGAGACTAGGAACCGGTAAGTGGCATGGGTCTCCCATACTCCACTCAAAGATGGAGAGAATTCCTGTTGGGGAGACCCAGAGAAGGTGCCCAGATCCCCTTCAGTGCGGAAAGTTTTTTTTACTGGAAACAGTGCACACTAAAAACTGCAAGCTGTAACAACTAGATGAATAAATGTTGTATACTACTAGCAAAACACTGCTGTAACAACTGTTGATATGTCATGACAACTGTCATATGAAATCCTTTCTGTGTCTTAATGGCACACAGAGTTAGTGTTTAAACAACATTTTTATTGACAACTATCAGGGTAATACTAAAAAACTGGATCAAAACTATATAGGTTTTACTATCAAAGTTGTTATATAAAAGGTAGATGAAGGAATTACATGGTCAAGTATCATGACTACTGACAGAGTACACAAACCTTTTTAAGAAGTGTATAAACAAATATTATAAACACTAACTAAGCAGCTCTATGGAATTATTTCTGTTCTAAAAATAATGATACAATATCAAATTTTACAAAATGAACTTACTACACAAAAACTTTTTGTCTTATAACTTTGAAAACAAAACATCCAGTTTGTTATCTATTCTACAACATTACAAAAATACAAGTATATATAACATAGAAGCATGAGTAAGAATGCAATATTCAATGGTCCTCCTACCTTTATAATTTTTGCACACTGGGTTCCTTTGCCTGATCCAGGTCCACCAAGAACAAATACAATGCTTGGCTTTACATTGGCCATGGACAGCCTTCTCAATGTGGTAATTAACAACATATATTACTGGGAATAAAAAAAAATCATTTATAAGAAATGTATGAACTTAATATTACACTGTTCTTAAACTTGTATGAACATAATATTACACTGTTCTTAAACTTGTGTGAAGTAGAGTTATTAGTTAAAGCCATGCACTAATTAAGATAATGAAGAACACCGACAATAGTTTTTTTTTTATAACAATTTATTTGAATTACTACTTTTTAAATCTAAGGTCTTCAAATTCATCTGAGCCCAAATCAAATTATAATTAATATAACTTTGTTCCTTTTATCTTCTCCACTGACTCCTAAAGTTAAAAAGAAAAATGAAACCAACTCCAATAGTAGCATAATTTACATTATGATCAGCTAAAAAAAACTTTCAAGCTATGTGGTAGATATATATATATGATGATAATTTAAACTATGCAGTTTGCACATATAATTCCTCACATTACAGTTAATTTTCAAGGAATGCTTTTCCACAAAAGTACAAATAAAAAACACAATAATAAAAACAAACACTTCTGACTATATTCTTTTGTTTCTGATGTACTTATCTCATTCAATCTACATTACTTTTTATTTCTTGCTGCACTTATTGGCTAACACTGTAAACATACCCACTAGTAATTACCATCTTGTTCATTAAAAGATATCAAAAAATAAATTATAGTATACTTTGCACACATGAAAATATGTAATATCTTATGAAAAGTATTTTCAAAATTTGTGATTGCCAAGATAGCTTAAAAGAAATTATGGCAAGTGAAATGGGACAGATTTGATGACACAAGACTCTTTTTCTACAGCTTTTCTTTTGCATATTTTCAAAAATGTCAGCATTTTCTACCTGTAAGTATAACCTTCCTGAAAGTGCAGTGATTATATTTTGTAAAATACTATATTTACCTAATCTTTCATTTCGGAACAATGTTAATATTACTTTCAAAGCATATACTGTTCTGTATATTTAAATGCGATATGAACAGATAATTGTTTTACTAAAGTGATATACATTGTCTGGGTGGTTTGTGCCCCCCTGCATCTGGGATCACCTACCAGGACAACTTCAGATTTCAGTGAACCCCTAGATTAAAATATCTTCCTATTCCTCTGCATGAACACCCAAGTGTATGACATAATAATGATTTCTCATATAGTGAAGCATATGGTTCAGTTTATGAGTAACTACAACAAAACAGGCTGAGATACGTGTGTTTATTTATGTGACAGATACTTCTGGGCATCCATAGGTTTATGAGAATGTGAAAAATTAGTCTTATTTTGGTGGATTTAACTTTCCAAAATGTGCATGCACATGACTCTTTATAATCATTTATTTAAACAAGCAAAATGAAGTATTAAAAATTAATATTGCAACTTCTTTAATTTTAAACACTACAATTTCCCAAATCTGTATTATTTAGCATGTAATCTACATATCCAATGCCATGAGGACAAAATGTGATTTAACTTCATCTCACTGCTGTGTTCATAAAAATTATGCATAGAGGTGCTGTCAAATTTTTTGAGCTAAGGAGGGATCAAGTCAATGCTATAGGGAGATCAACAAAAGAATAGGTCTCCAAAGTACTTGCAAATTGTAGGGCTGTACTTAAATCTTGAGCAAGCACAAATTAATTTGAGCAGTTAATAATCGCAAGCCCCTGTAATAGTGAAGCTTTTTCGCATTTCTACTGTTTATAATCTAGACGTTTTAACTATTCGTTAGAAAATATGCGGTATCATTCTAACACACTAATAGTAACATAGTGTCAGTTGAACCCAAAATTCGAATCACATAAAATGTAGTTATTTTTTTTACGCCACTGCGCATTCCAGGATTCATAAAGAGTTGTAACTCCAAATCAATGAATTAAAATGTAAGATAACCTCAAGTCTCAAGAATCGTGAAGAAACTAAAACTCAAAATAATTAATACTGTTATTACTAGTAATACTAAATAGCGTATATGAAGATGATTGGAGGAACAATCTAACATTCTAAGTTTGGAAAGATATTATGTATTAAAATGCTTATAAATCTTTTATAAACTAAAAACATACTTCGATAAAGGTCTGGTTCAATACAATATATTAAATATTTGCGAGAATATAAAAAGCAGGTAAAAATATATGGTCTCAAATTTACTGACAAAAACTATGTTATCTCAAAAACACCGTAAAACACCACGCAACAACAACAACGTGCCTGACATCTGATGGAAATTTTTATTATGTTGCGTGGTATGGTTGAAGATAATTATATTCTGTTTATTTATTTATTTCTTCTACACAATGGGCTGTCTGTGCTACGCTAGCCACAGGTTCGAAACCCGACTTTTGGTGTTATAAGCTCTCAGATATATATATATATACAGATTTATTTACATTATGAAGTGTAATCTGTTTGTGGTAGATTTAATGCAGGTATAAGCGAAACAAAATAATAACACGAGACAATCAGAGAACCCTCTTAAAAACTAAAGTACTGCAGTATTTGTATTTTGTATTTCTGGCAAAATCACTTAAACTACCTGCTGTCGTCCCTAACTGACTTGAAGGGAGAGCCAGTTAACAGCACATCATCATCTATGCTAAAAAATTGAGTGCCACTCTTATAACATACCCACATCTTAAAATGCTATAAATATTTTTGTGGTATTACAATAATTCGAGCACAGCTCGCCAGTCTTGAAATACAGAACTCAACTTCAGGGCCAACCCCCTTCTGAAGTATTACTGAGATTATATATACACAAAATTGATAGTGTGGTGATAAGTTTATCACATCTAAAATATATTTCAGGAAGAAAGAAGTACTTATGCTGTTAAAGATTGATATTAAGATTTGGAAAGAAGCAGAATAGTCAGGGCATTGAAAAAGAACATAAAGAATAATTTCAGGTACTGTATTACATGCCTGACGTGAGGGAGAGTCACAAATGCTCATTTTATCCAAAGTAGAATTCAAACAGCAGGTGAAAAGTCAAAGATGTGTTACGTCTCCGTTTGTTAATTAACTTTCCGTAAC